CTTTTTTTTATCTTTTAATGTGTACAACAATCCACTTATTCATGAACAACAGCATGAATACATGTACATTTGGAATCACTCCGCCTGTGACAGGAGCCGGCGCTATAAAGGAAGCATGGGCTTATGTGGTTCCGCTCCCCCAGCAGGGAGCAGAGCTGCATAAGCATGTTTCCTCCACACAGTGCATTAAGTTAAAGTTAAGTTAAAAAATAAAGTTTAAAAAGGCTCTTTATGTTCCCCACTGGCCCTGGGAATAAACATAGCTAGTTCTTATTTTCGGGGTAGGTCTTATATTTTAGCAAGTACCAAAAATAGTACTAGGTCTTTTTTTCGGGATAGGTCTTATTTTTCAGAGAAACAGGGTATATGCTGTCTGTTCAAATGCTGACACTGTCTGTAGGGCCTCAATCCATTGAATTACAGGAAGGGAGCATTTTTCTTCCTGATGTTGAAATATTAGTCTTTTCGCTGCCATATGGGTGCAGGAAAACCCACCGTGTAGTTCTTCTGTCCAGCTTTACAGCTTGGTATTAGAATCTCTGAACTGTAGTAATACAGATACAGATTTTCACTTGCTTAGGCAGATCCTGTGGTGGTAGCAGTGTGAACGAAAGAGATAATACAAGCCTGAGGTCTTTGCACATCCCTGTTTTAAAGTGCTGCCGCCCTCTGAAAGAAAGACATTTTCTGTGGAAGAATGCAGGCTAGTAGTCCTGCATTCCTGATGTGAAGAAATTGAATCTTGGCAATGACAGGAGAGCCGGTGTGGTGTAGTGGTTAAGAGCATGGGACTGGGACTCAGAGGATCTGGGTTCGAGTCCCCGCTCGGCCATGGAGCCAACTGGGTGACTTTGGGCCCGTCACAGTCTCTCAGCCCAACCTACCTCACAGGGTTGTTGTTGTGGGGATAAGATGGAGGAGGAGAGATAATGTAAGCTGCCTTGAGCCCTTGTAGGAAAAAGGCAGGATATAAATAAATAAATGCAACGAATTATCCAACAGATGTACAGAGCTAAGAGTCAGACTATACACACTGGAATTATTTGCTAGAGCAGCCTTCATCTTTTAATAATACCTTTATTTCTATATAATGCTCTCTAGTCCTCCCATTCACATATCCAATGTGTGAAGCAACCGAAAATTCTACTTTACAGACAGAGGCAGAACCTAGCAAGAGGATCAGATGATCAGCACTAACTTCTGTCCTAAACCCTAACCAGAAGCCAGACTGAAATGAATCTAGAACATCAATTTTACCCAGGAGAGCTTGAAGCTGCTAGCTACTACCACCTTGTCTAAGAAAATGAGATTAGAAACTTACCCCTACTTAAGTCATTCACAAGGATGTAGGGAGTGCTTCTTTAAGAGATAAAGAGAACTCCATTTACTATTGAAGAGCAGTTGGAAATGGCAGGGTCAGTACAAAATGCAATGGCAAAGATTGTTGTGCTGGTTGTCTGTTACACCATCACCACCATTTGTGGTCCATTTGTGTGTGTTATTCAATGTGATGAATACTTTACTTTTAAAGCCTGAAAGGTTTCATACCACAGTGCCTGAAAGACTGTTGAGTTCAGTCTGGTAAGCCCTTCTGTGCATCCAGCCAATACCTAAACAGGCTCTTTTCAAGCTGGTACCTTCCCTATGTTTTGGGCATCAACTCCTGGCATCCCTGATGCCTTCCATAACTGCACCTAGCATGTGGAACTTCCTGCCCAGGAAAATCCATCTGTATCACCCAAGAGCAGTTTCCCAAAGCTGGGTAAAGACACTACTTTGGCTTGATCATTAATGATATAATTAGGTACTGGTTTTGCATTTTTGAAGTGTCATTATTTGGATTATTTTAATTAGCATCAACAACTTTAAGGATCCTGTGTTTAAGTGAATGGCAAGATAATGAGGCCTATGGGGAAATTAGTAAATAAATATCAAAGGGAAAATGTCCTTATTTAAGGAAGCAGGAATCATATTTTAGACCTGGGACAATTGCCTGCAGCAGGCAAATACACCAAGCCAAGATGAGCACAAAGTGGAACAGATTTCACTAAGATTCATCCCATCTGTATCCTCAGATGCAAGAAAGAAAGGAAGGAAGGAAGGAAGGAAGGAAGGAAGGAAGGAAGGAAGGAAGGAAGGAAATAATTTAACTTTTACCCCACACTTATGTTCATTGGCAACCCAGAGCAACTTTACAGCATAATGAAAAAGAACAAATATAAATAAAACAGAAGCCTCACACAAATAAGAAACACCTACTACCAACTTAAATTTATCTCAAGAAACCTGATAAGAATAGAACCTGGTTTATTCTACTATGGACAACTCAAATATGGATATGAGATACTTTAGCCTGAGGAAACAGAAACACCCTTCCCCTGCTACTATTGCCAGATGTGCTAGCCCCTCCATCATGAAGGACACAGATGTTAACAACTGCAAACAATTCTGCATAACTCACTGTGCTTCCTATGCCCAAGAATATCAATGTTTTGTAAAGTTTTCCTTAAGAGTGACTAAACTTGAATTTTCTTGCTATCTAGTTCAGCCTATCAACAGCACTACTCTACTCCTCATATTAGGAAAAAGGCTTTTCAACATGCTGTATGGATCCTTCCTTCTCCATTCTCTTTGCACAGTTATCAAGCCACTGCTGATGTAGATAAGCACTAATGGCCAAGGCACAAGTCAATCCTGCAGCGACACAGAACAGATACATGTGTAGGCCTAGATGTTGTTATGGCAACATTGTGGCCCAGGGAGACTGATATAGCTAGGGCCATTTACCTGTGGGTAACCCCATCAAAGGCAATGGGATTTACTTCTAAGCAGACATGTATAAGAAGTCACATACCTCTAACACCATTAATTTCAAGCATGGCACTGGAACACAATATATGTGAACCTGGTTTTAATTACAGTAGACTCTCAGTTAACCAGTGCCCATTAGTTAATGGCCAGTGCTCAGTTAACCAGGATTGGTAGATGCCAGATAAATGTGGTTTGTAGTTTCTGGTTGCCTGAGAGTAACTATTGAAAATAGGTCTAATTAATACAATACCCCATACCATACCATACCATAAATTGTGTATTGACATGATATTAATATTGAAATACATTAATTAAAAGCAAATTAAGACAAATAAAGACAAACTTAATGTAATACAGTTTTATATAAAACAGTTTTGTGAATGCAGTGTGCAATTTTAGTTAAATGGCAGTCAATAAACTTTTCAATTTAATGACCTTCACTAACCAATTTTTTTAACTTCAAGTAACTTAGGAAAAAAACATACACATGTACTCGTAAAACTGTTACAGTAGGGGTAGAGCATTTACTGGGTAGACATCACATCTGGATCTGATCTAGCTGGGATAGGATCAGAAGTGGATGTGGATGGTTTTGGCTGTACATCAGTAGATGATGCTGTATTGGCAAGCTTGCGTGCAACTTTCTTGAAAAATGAACGGATATCAGCTGGATTTGAGGCCCTATGCCTCTCATGCAAAGTCAGGTTTTGCATGATGTGCTGCTGCATACCGTGATTCCCCGAAAATAAGACATACTGTCTTTTTTTTTTTTTTTTGCTCAAAAAAGCACATTAGGTCTTATTTTCGGGTAGGTCTTATTTTTTTAATGTACAAAATGTACATTTAATGTACACCCTTCTGCTCTGCACTTTTCTGCTGTACACACTTCTGCTCTGCACTCCAATTGCTGCCAAAAGCTGCATACACCGATCCTCTCCAGCACCTGCTACCGGTGCTGTCACAGGCAGCGGAGGAAGCAGAGCGGTGTGAGCCGATGCTTCCTCTATAGTGCCGGCTCCTGTGACAGGCGGCGTGCATTTGCTATCACTCCGCCCTTCACAGGAGCCAGGACTATAGAGGAAGTATCAGGTTAAGCTGCTCTGCATCCTCCTGCTGCGCCCTCTGCACTGCGCTGGCACTCTGCAAGTAAGCAAAAAAAGTAAGACCTATTACCAATAATTTTTGGCATTAGGTCTTACTTTCGGTGTAGGGCTTATATTATAGGACCTACCCCGAAATAAGACTAGGTCTTATTTTCGGGGTAGGTCCTATTTTTGGGGACACACAGTAACATGCCGAGAGGTGAAGAAGGGTCTCTGCTCTGCAAAAGCTATCACATTTTCAGATGCTGCAGCAGCTCTCTGCCAGGATACTGTTTCCACCTCACACCCATCGCCATCACTCTCTTCCTCCTCTGCAACATTCATTTTTCCATGATTCACAACAGCTTCTGTGATGTCTTCTGTATTTACTGTATGAGATCCTGGAATAGCTTCATCCACAGCAAGTCAGTCGCTAAGTTCATCTTGAGACACATTCACTTTGTCATTAGCAAAGTCGACTAACTCCCAGCTTTCATCATGAACTCTGCTACTGGCAACTGCCCTGTTGACTGGAAACCCCTCAAAGTCTATGGAGGAGGATTCCACAGACATCACAGCTAGCCACAACTTTCTCCGGCAATTCTGTAATGTTTCACTTCTCACAAAATCCCAAGTACAACTGACAATGTAGATAGTATCTTTGAGATATTTTTTATGAAAGTCCGGAATTGTCTCATCAAAATTAGTTATTTCTGCATGAACTCATACCTATAAAATGTTTTTACATTCTTTGTCACTCTCTGATCCATTGGTTGGATCAGACTCATAATGCTAGCTGGAAGGTAACATACAAAAATGTTGCCATTAGTGAGCTCTTCCACAGGAGGGTGTGTGTAACAGTTATCCAAGAGCAACAGAACCTTACTTTTCTCTGGTATTCCTTTGTTCCATAAATTTTCTTTAACACTGGGGACAAAAAGAATTATGAAACCACTTTGTAAAAATTTCTGCACCCATCCAACTGTTATTTTGTGCATGATAATCTACAGGAAGGTTAGTTATGCCTTCAAAGCACCTTGGTTTCGCAAATTTGCCAACCACACACAACTTTACCTTATGAGTTCCTGATGCATTTACACAAATGAGCACAGTTATACATTCTTTATTTAGCTTGAACCCAGGAGGTACCCTCTCATTACCACCAGGAAAAGTAGAATTCAGCAGACACTTCCACATAAATGAAGTCTCATCTGCATTTTAAATCTGCTCTGGGGTCAAGCCATTTTCTGCAACCAATTCACTAAACACATCACAAAATGAAGCTGTGGCCTCAAAATCAGCCGATTTCTGCTCACCTGACAATTCCAGCTTATGGATGCCATGATGAACGTTGAATTGGGTAAGCCAGCCACTTGAAAATGAACACTTACCTTCAATGTTCATTTTCTCATGAAATTCTGTTGCTTTTTCCTGTAACATGGGTCCAGAAATACAACCACCATCAGACCTTTTCAGCAAAAGTCACTCATGCAGGGCCTGGTCAAGCACTTCCATTTTCGGTGTATGAAGAGTATGACACTTCTCCACACTCTTGTCACTCTCTGGGTTAACATAAAACCCCTTTATCTTTTGAGACTGAGCCTTAATGTCATAAATTGTTGACGATCTGACATTAAATTTCCCCATGAGCACTGCACGATTCTCACCATTCTCAAGCCTCGGTCCTCTTTCCATGTTCTGCTTTCCACTTTCCTGGGACCAGTTTCAGCATCCCTTGGCTTGGGTGAGAACACAAAATGTGAACAATAATAGATCCCAACCGATCAGTGAATTGGTGGAAATGGGAAACAAACATGATGCACAAAGCGTGGGCTTACTCATGGTGTGGCATGGTGCATCAAGTTTAAACTTACATTTTAATTTTTATTTAAAATATTATTTCTTTGATTCTCTTGCCAGTTGCTTGAAAGTGCCAGTTGCATGAGTTCTGGTTAATGGAGAGTCTACTTTAAATGACTTTAGGTACCTTTTTAATATTTATTGACATGATTTCTGTAGATGTTTAATTCACTGTTTTCCCAAAATCTCAGGGCCAATTATATCATATTACCGACCACCCAAACACTAAAACATTTTAACATTCTGAACTAAAAGTTACAATAGGTTGGTCTGGCAACTTTTTGATGATGGTGGGGAAAAAGCTATATGCCTGAACATGTGTGAAAAAAACGAATCTTCTCCCATGGAGAAATGAATGTTATGGAAAGGCTTAAAAATAGCTTTGACTCACTCATGTTGTCTTAAATCCGAGAACAATAGCATTAATTTCCAGTATGCACCAACACAACTGAGTCTTTTTCTGCTTTAAGTCTGAAGACAAGTCCAATAAATACTTGTTTTTTTAAAAAACTGTTTAGAACGCTTTTACAGGAAATCTTCATTTACAAGGAAAAAAAGAATAAACAACATTAAATTCTATTCCTTCCAATTCATGGCTTTTGCTTTGGCGTGTCACAGAAAGGCATGTTGTCCTGCAGCACCTCTTTTCTTGGAACAAGCACTAGAAGAGAGGAACATTTCCTGTAAGATTTACTTTATATTTACAAAGAAAGGTCAGCTGATTTGCTACACATATTGTTTAAATTTTCCATCTGCTGAAAAGAACAGTTAATATTCCTAACTTTCTCAACACAGTAATAATGGATGCTTCTAGATGAGGTGCTTTATTGGGCAACCCCTCCACCTCAAGGGAGGTGCCATTGATACGTGGAGATGCCATTGCTAAGTGGATGCTTTGCACCCAGAAGGTCCCAGCCTCAATCCTTGGCATCTCCAGGCAGGGTTGGGAAAGTTCTGCCTGAACTTTTGGAAAGCCACTGCCAGTCAAACTTGACAATATTGGTCTAGATATTTCTGACTTCCATTTGGAAGCCTGCTGTGTTTTCCCTAGCGACGTTTACTGCCTTATCTATACAAGCTTTCTTAACTCATTCAGTCAGTATCAGAGCAGCCAACTGGTTTTGTTCAATTGTTTCTTATCAATCCTCATCTCTACCAAAGTTCTGAACATCAGGCATCTTAGGCTACTAATGCTCCTCAAGGCTGTCGGATTAGTTTGCCTAACCCAGGGGTCGGCAACCTTTAACACTTAAAAAGCCATCGTTTCCCACACAAAAGAAAACACCAGGAGCTGCAAAACCCTTTTGACATCTAAAATTAAGATAACACTGCATATATCGTTTTTTACCTTAATGCTATGGGTATCTTCATTATGATTTAGCTGCAGCTCTTGTTCAGTCACAAAAAACTGTTATTTTTAATCTTACATTATAAACTAGTAGGACTCCTTTCATATATTTTCAAAAGGAGAACAGCTTCCTGAAGAGTCAAAGTCAGTGCTAAAGGGCTGCATGCATTAAACAGCAAACCTCATAAGTTCGTCAGCAGTAAAAGCAAATTAATCTACCCACGTACCATAAAACGTTTGGTTTTCTTCAGAAAACTTTCTTTTCTTCGATTTATCCATGGTTGGCCTAACCGGGGGGGGGGGGGGGTCAGTAAGGATCAGCAGGTCCAGAGATGTGCCGGAGATATAGGTGTGTTTAGTGACTGATTAGCAGATAACCAGTCAAGTGCTGTGAATTGTGACAGGTCCCAAGTGCAGCTTTTAACATTCAAATAGAGATTACATTGGGACAAAGAGAACCCTTTCAGCAGTTTCCTGTAACATGAGAGCCTGCAGGAAGCTTGTTTAGCAGAGGAATGTAGCGATTTACTTAACTAGCTGATTTACTTAACTAGTGCTGAGTTCCTGGGTGGAGCTTCGAGCAGATCAGCGGCTGTGCCGATGCATGTTTTGAGTGACAGAGCCGCAGCAGAGGGGTTCAAGAGCCACGTGTGGCTCCGGAGCCGCAGGTTGCCGACCCCTGGCCTAGCCCTACTAAACAGCCTAAAGGCAAAGATGCAATCGTATCACACAGCTTTTTCTGTATAAGTACTGGCCTCAGGGTAGAGTGGGGATGTGGTGCAGGGGCCAGATTGTTGGACTGGGACCCAGGAGACTTGGGTTCTAGTCACCCCTTGACCACGAAGCTCATCAGGTGACTCTGAGCCAGTCACTGACTCTCAGCCTAACCAACTTCACAGACTGTTGCATTTGTTCCTCAAATGGAGGAGGAGGATTGTGTAAGATAAGTGGGGAAAATGGTGGGATACAAATGTAAATAAATACTAGGCTGGGTAATCTTGTATGTTAAGGGTATCAGAAGCACACATGGCATATACCTCACATGCAGGGAGTCCCAGCTGGCATCATTCCTATCACTACTTGGTAACATGGAGGAGTAGCCAGTTAGGAGTGGGGTCAGCACTTCTGTTTGAGCAAATGCACAAAGCACCAATGCTGACAGGTCATTTTAAGCAAACATCACCGAATCACAGCTTGAACTGGTAAAGCCAGACAATTTACTTGCAAAACTAGAGTCATACTGTGCACTCTGGGACCAGGCCAAGTTTACTTGCAGTGCTGTCAAGATGCTCCCCCCCCCCCCACCACCAGCAAACAACACCCCCTTCTCCCATGTTCTATACCATGCGACAATTCCTTTTCAGCCAATGCCAAGTTTCTATCTCAACACATGCACTTTGTGCTTCTTTATGGTAGGCTTATTCCAGTGCGGTGTACATCGCTCATAGAATGAAAATGCCCAGTCACGGGGATTAAATGGTGCTTATTTTTCCTCCTGTATCCTGACATTACTCTTCTATCCTTCTGTTGGCCTAGACAGGAAAGGAGTTTCACAAAATGTATCTGTCCTGCAAAAAGGAACTGGAGGAATGGTGCCCGACTACAGCTCAATGGAAGAGCACAGGCTTTGAGTGCAACGAGTCCTAGGAGTTCAGGTGTAATTCTTGACATTTTCAGGTAGGACCAGGGAAAGCTCCTGCCTCCAACCCTGGCAAACTGCTGCTGTTAGTGTAGAGTTGCTGAGCTGTCTGAAACCGTGGCATTGGTTCCTAGGTATCAACTACATGTACAACCAGTGCACTGGTCCAATTCTCCCCTTCTCTCTAAGCATACTTGCTTCTGCTCAGCAGTATTTGCAACTGCAGAGCTCGAGTCTGAGGTGAGGGTGTCTCAGTTTTGTCCCGTTTGCCTGAATTAATTCAAAGATGGCCTGCCAATTCAAAAGAAAGACTAGGAGTCTCTAAGTAAGGAACTACAATCTGTATCCTGTTGGGATCAAGGGTTGATAGGCTGTCTAATGTTAATTGTGATAATGCTTTATATCTTAAAATATAGCCATGTGGCTCAGAGAGTATAGGCTAGAGGACTATAGCAAACATGTACATGTTTCTTTTATTGGGAAACTTTCAGGTATATACAGCTTATTTATTTATTTATTTATTTATCGATTTATATCCTGCCTTTTTCCTACAAAGGGCTCAAGGCAGCTTACATCATTCTCCTCCTCCATCTTATCCCCACAACAACCCTGTGAGGTAGGTTGGGCTGAGAGTCTGTGACTGGCTCAAAGTCACCCAGTTGGCTCCATGGCTGAGTGGGGACTAGAACCCACATCGTCTTAGTCCTAGTCCCATGCTCTTAACCACTACACCACACTGGCTCTTAATCCATTGAATGAACCCATTTGATACAGGATCACAGGAAAGATACTCACGGGAACAGTAAAACAACTGCAAAAACTATGAATACAAATATCTTACCCTAAAAATCACAAAATAAGTTTCAAGACATACATTTAGAATAGTAACTGCAGACAGTATCAGGGATTCTGCAACACATTTTGTGGAAGTAAAAAGAATATATCTTATCAATTTCGAATGTATTCAAATGTGCCAAAAATGAGAAGGTTTATGCAATCAGTATGAACTTTCTGACCTCTGCTCTGCTCTGCTCTGCTCTGATTTTGGCCCCCTAAATGTTTTTCTCCTCTTCATGAGGAAGGGGAACTGAAGGCCCAGTAGGATTCTTCAGAAGACAGTGGTGCCCCTCCCCTCCCCTCATGTTGGCTCCAATCTTCTGTCTTCAGAAACCAGCCACTGCAGAAAGAACCACGTGGGCTGGGAGGGGAGGGGCCCACCAAGCTTGGAGTCCAAACTCCATCCCAGAAGTTTTTCCCTGGTTGAAGCTGAGACTCTAACCTATCTGACTGCCATCCCTAGACAATGTCAGGAGGCATGGGATTGTGCTGTTAATGGGTCATGACAATTATAATAGCATGCATCGCTACATACAAAGAATTAACAAACTGACAAGCAGTGTATGGTGAACAAAGCCAACATTATTCAGTTTTAAAGCAACTTTGGTGATGTTTCCAAAGTGAAATTTCTTTACTTACAGATTTTGTTGGCGTCCACATGGATACCTTGAATGACAGATGTTCTGAGTATAACTTCTACATCTGAACCTATTTTCATAAGCTATACAGGAAGAAAAGGAAAAGAAAATCAATTGAATGCTACAGAGTAATACCTGAAGAGCCTTTCTGTGTTCATGGAACAACATTACCTTCCATGTCTGAATCATTCAAAGGATGTTATTTTCAATACTGAAAGACCTACAGTTAGCCAGAAGTGGCAATAGCTCTTTGGGCAACTCCTTGGAGAGAAGACCGTAATTTCCATTCCAGAGTGGGCAAACGGGGCTGTTTTCAGTTCAATCCCTTTATAAACACATGGAGTGCCTGAAATACTAAACTATCTATCTATCTATCTATCTATCTATTTATTGATTGACAGCTCTTCCCTTTGGTAATGACCATGTTACATCTAATTTTATTTCCTTGGTATATTTCCCCATTGTTATCACACTGCCTTTTTATCCTGCCTTTTTCTCTCTTGTGATGAACCCAAGGTTCCCATACCCCTCCTTCACTCCATTTTATCCTCAGAACAACAAGTCTGCAAGGTACATCAGGCTGAGTGAGTGGCTCAAACCCACCCTGGGAGCTTCAAGACTGAGTGGAAAGTAGATCCACTCTCTCTCAGGTCCCCAGCACAACCCTCTCGCTGCTGCACCACACCATCTTAATTAATACGCAATATGCATGCAGAGCTCATGGGGGACAAGGTTATCAAGTCTGAATAGGTTTAAAAAACTAACTTGTCACCTGATATCTGGGATACTGTAGCTATGAAAGGAACCTTTCTACAGTGTATCCAGCACTGGTAAGTGTGTGTTTTGACAATTATTAAAAACCTACTTGTTTACCCTGGTTTTTCCAAACCATTAACTTGTTTCTAATGATGATGCGCTTTTATAGTGATGTACTGTTTTATGCTATGCTGTAAATTGCTTCAGGATTTTTAGAAAGGGAAGTGGTACATTAATATTATAAATAACAGCTCATACTTCACTTATTGCTAGAAAAGTAAGGCAGACACCACATTATAAAGTGGACGGAGTTCCAAAACCACTGCCCTGTTGCCTGACAGAAAGTACTCATACACTGGCAGCCAACTAATTCTGTACTGAGGTCTGCGGCAGATAAATGCTCTTTGGTATAGGAACACAATATTTAACACAATATAATTTACTTATTTTAGCTTGAGGCGGCCAGAATTTTATTTTTATCAAGTGCATTAATATTACAGACTTAGTAAATGATCTATCTGTACTTATGCTCTAAGTAACTTCCTGTAAATATGGAGGAATGGGGAACTGAGTCGGCAAATATATTGATCAAAATAATTCATAATCCTTGAAAAGACAAGTAAAAGGGATTTCCCCCCCAAGTTTATGAACATTAATGTTTTTTGAGGCTTAACTTAGTTTTAAAAGATTAAAAATAGGACTTTGATACTGTCGAGGTTGGCAGCCTGGCATGTGAACAATCCACACTTTCAGGAGCAATAAAACTAAAGTCCTTTAATGCTAATTATCTACAAGATTTACAACTCTATAGATAAGCCCTTCCATTGAGGTCTTTGGTGTGTAGATGTTAACCTTCTAATGGCTTCTCTCCCGGAGCCCACCTGCATCTACTCCTCTAAGTCACGCCTTTCCTCCCTCTTACTAACAAAGACTGTCGCTGTTCATATCTTCATAGAATCCAGTGATTGGCAGCTCGAGAGAAATCCACCATGCCCACTGAGTCTTCTGTTTCATGCTCAGGGAGATCAGTGTCAGAGGGGAAAGGAGCAGTTTGCTCCTCCGAGTAGAACTTGCAGCTTCCTCCTTCTTGGGACTCTCTGGCTTCGATGAGGGCTCAGGCGTTTGTTCAATGGGCTGGGAATCAGAGGGAGGTGCAGCTGCTTGCTCATCCGCCCCTAGACTGGGTTGTGGGGTCGGCTTTTGGGCACAGGGTGTCAAGCACAAGACCTCCTTGTGAGCCACTGTCTCTGTCGGGGCTTCCTGCACGACAGATACTGAAATGCATCCTCAGTGTCTGAATCTGAGCCAAGTTGCTTCCCTTTGGTTGGACAGAACCAACACCAGTGCTTAAAGGCTTTAGACGTAGCTGCTGTTAGGCATGGACTAGACAAAGTTGTAAGTTACCTGATCTTTTCTTTTGTGCCAGTTTCTGCAAACAGACTCGTATACCAAAAATTCATCCACTGAAAAAACCCTGGTTCACAAAACAAGCCCACCCACTGTGGGTACCTGTCTGTCCAGGATCAGACTGCTTCCCATAAGGTGGCTTATTGTGTAGCGCTTTATAGGTTAAGCCCAGAACCTTAAATTGGGACTGGAAGCATACAGGCAGCCAATGCTGATTGGCCAGAACTGGCCTTATATGTTTGGGTCTCCAGGTCCCAGTTATTAACCTGGCTGCCACATTCTGCCCCAGCTGCAGCTTCTGAACCATCTTCAAGGTTAGTCCCATGTAGAGTGTGCCACAGTAATCCAACCTAGAGATCAAGAGTATAGATTACTGAGGCCAGGTTATCCCTGTCCAGATAGGGGCACAGCTGAAGCTGGTAGAAGACACTCCAAGCCACCAATGCCACCTCAAGTGACAGAGATGGATCAAGAAGCACCCCCAAACTATGAACCTGCTCCTTCAGTGGGAGTGCGATCCCATCTAGAAAGCCTGAACATCCCCTACCTGGTTAGAGGAATGGGAATGAATGGAGAAGTTTTTTGAAAGACAATAATAAAGGAAACATTTATACTTGTTTTGCGTAGGCAAAAAAGAAAACCTATAGTTCAAGTTTCATAATCTTAAGAAAGTCTAAGTGATTTAAGACACAATCCTATGTAAGTCTAAACCATAACCACACACACAGAAAAGAGAGGCCTACAATTCCCAGCATGCTCCAACCAAGTGTTATTGCCTTTTTCCAGTTTAAACTTGAATAAGATTATGCCTATATGGCTTTTTTGCCTATTCAGCTGGTTTTTTGCCTGATAACAAGAAGCAAGAGACATTAGTATCAACAGTGGGCCAAACAGGGGGAGTGTTCCAATGAATCCCTTTCCAGATGTCTGAAAATGAAGTCTGGGTTCACTCAACCAGGGCTGCTGCAAGGGATGGTTCCCAAAGAAGGAAGAAAAATATAAAGAGGCTTATCTCTGACTAACAGAGTCCACTACCTCCCTTAAAGGCAGAAAGACAACGAAGATCCTGCTGATGTATGTATGTATCTGGTGCATTTTTTTCAAGACTGCCATCTTCCCAAGTGGTTGGATGCTCCTAATTCATCTTTCATTTTTGTGTGGGAGTTTCTTCCTCTGACAAGCTAAACCAAAACCAACCACCACAATGAAAAAGCTGCAGAGGTTCAAACTTTAAAAGATACTGAGCTGGATCTACACTTAGTCAAGCCAAAGAGATGTCAGATATTCAGGACTAACATGTCTCATTGATTTCTATGGGCCTACCTTAAGAATGACTAAAGCTAGATCCAGTCCATGGTTTCCAACATGTATGTTTGGAGCACATCAGTACTGCAGATGCAAACATGCTCTAAATCAGTTTAATTTCAATGACTTTTACTTTATAGCAGGGAACTACAATTTACAAAGGAATTATAGTTTCAAAGGAACCATCATTTTAAAAAGGCACTCAGAATTCTTTGCTCTAGTGCCTGGTTTCCTCTCAGCCCCAAGGTTCTTTGGAAAAAGGGGGAGAAAGGACCTGTGCTAGTTAAACCAGTGAGTCCTTTCTTCAGTAGCAAAAAGGTATTCTTGTGTAAGTACCTCAGTTATTCTTTCAGAAGAAGTCTCATCTTTATTATTTCTGAATTCTTCATTTATCTTAAGCCTTGCAGCTGGATAAAGGGAAAGTAGAAGAGGTTGGAAAAAGTTACTATTTTAGCTTCAGCAGAAAGACTTTATGAACAGCATTCAGAAAAAGGCTGAGACACATAGTTAGTGAAGCATATGCACATTAGAACTTCATATTTCTCTTAAGACAGCCATATTTCCATGGAGTGATATCTGATTATTTCCCAACAGTGTAGTTGCAGAATCTGATCAGTTTCTAGAAATTTAAAATGACTTTCTTCTGACTGTACAGATTATACTACAGGACACATATCAAGTAAGAAAATAACTGTTTTGCAGCATGGTGAACAAGATAAACATGAACCATCCTACAGAGGATAACATTAGAAAAAGACATAGTTGGTATTTGATTTCTGCAGAACCAGCCCCTAGAACAGGAAACAGCTAAGTTCCCAGTACGCTTGTAGTATAAATCAGCTTAAGCAGCATATCCTGCTTTGGTTCCAACCCAACTCATAATAAACTGATAGCAAAATATTGGAGACAAGAACTATGTTCAAAGTATCAGAAAGCATTAAGCCAATATTAAAGAGTACAATACTCCTTCTGAAAATAGTACCTGCTTGAGCAGAAATGTTTTACATTCCATCTACATGATTTTTGCAGGCAAAGTGTTCAGAGAACTGCAGTTCCACCTCTTTCTAAGAGTCCTTAGCATATTACACCTCTGTATAAATGATAGCAAAATCATGCTGCAGGCATAGAACAGTTCTGAAATCACCTTGTTCCACAGCTTAATGGGAACATAAAGTTCCCTCTGTATCTATGCAACAGCATAATTCACATAAAAATTAAAAGGTGTTTGCAAATAGCCTTATGTAACTAGGAGGCGTAGCTAGAACAGAAAGATAAGCTGTACGAACTTTATATCTGCTTCTGCTGCACAAGTGCAGCTAAACCAAAAAGGAGACAGTCTTTTAATTAGTAATGGCCCAAATCTTTTAGAGCAAGGGTAGGCAACCTGGTGCCCTTCAAATATTTTGGACTACAACTCCCACAATTTTTTACCCATCCTATACAGAGTTTAGATCAAATGCAACACAACATCAGGATGATTATGCCCTCAGAAGGCAAAGAAGCATTTTCCCTGAAGTTTTGCCTTAGGAACTGCATTTTAAAACACATGTAGCCTGGTTTAGAAAAACTTGCATCAGTTTACAGAATTTTGTCAATTGCAGACCTTCTCTGAGGCAGACAAGCACTGGACTGAACACATCTCAAGGCATGAGATTATTCAGGTGTGAAAATGTCCAAAGCAAGATTGCAAGCATGAGTCTACTATATCTAAGCTACCATACCCATAGTATTTATTACTAATACTAGGTGCTAGGATCTTTGTGGATGGTGCCTGACATGATTGATGATGAATTAATGGATTCCAATCTCATTCTCTTTTGTAACTTTTATTTTTAAAAGCACACTCCCAACAACTGGAGAGGAAAGTAACAGTCCCCTTTACTACTCATGAAGAACCATGACAAACTGGTTAAGCCCTTTAGCAAAAAAAATGGCAAAGACCCTTAGAGCAACAGCTATATAGTATACACTATTTACCATACTGATGATATTCTGTTTTCTTCCCTTTATACTTTATTTGAGAGTTGCACATTTCAAAGCATCCCAAGTATTTTTCAAATATCCACAGCGAGGGTGGAAAATCCCAGGTGCAGAACAATGATGACACTTGTCAAAATGGCTTTATACCCCTAATCCATTAACACCTACACAGAGAAATTGAATGTTTCTCTTTCCCCACATCTGAAATGCACTCACCCTCCTATACAATAGAAGAGCTACTTCAGAACACCTTCTTTTAGCATATAATGTCTACTGCATTAAAATGTGATTTGTTTTTCCATGTTATTTCCTTTGCTTGGATTGGCTTCATTTGCAAACAGTTAGCTTAAAACATGCAGTTCCTGCATATATGAACTACATCTATCAGATTATAAGCTGGAAAGTTTCCTTCGTCAGAAAGGAAGAAGAGCAGGCTAGAGGAGGGATGGTAGTTCAGACATGGAGCACATGTTCTGCATGAAAAGGTCCCAGGTTCACTTCCCATCACGTCCGGGTAAGACTGCAAAAGTTGTGCCTGAAACCTTGAAAAGCCAGTCCCATCAGTTTTAATAGTACTGGGGTAGATGGATGAATGGTCTGTACAAGGTGGATTCCCATACTGTTATGCTACTATTGCATAACCTTGCCAACTTCAAACTGGCACAAATACATGCAGGATCACATGATCTTTTGAAAGAGGGAGATGCCTGTCACCAGCTTCATACTTAAGCATTCACCTGATAGCTATGCAAAACTGAAGGCTGCTGAAGGAAAGGCAGAGTGTTTTGTTCCTCTTCTGTAAGTGCACAGAAGAGAATTTTGAATTTTGTAGACTAGTAATTTTTGAGGGCCCATTTATCATCCTGGCAAAGATGCTGCAAAACCACCAACCCCCCTCCCCCAAACAAACCCCTTCCAAGACTGTTTCATTTTTATTTTATTTTCCCTTTAGCATGAAAAGAAGAATCTTTACCTTCTAGGGCTCTGCTGTCATTTTGGAAAACTTGTTGCCTTGTCCTGTGCAAAGATCTGAAAAGTTTCAAAATCTGTAAATGCGACATAAGAGTTAAAAATCATCACTACTGAAACTTTGTTTTACTTATTACATTTCTGTTATTTCTGTTTGTTTTACTTATTACGTTTTGGTTACTTATTATATTTCTGTATCACCCAATAGCCAAATCCTCTAGGAAGCTCACAAAATAAAAGTAAAGTTGTGAAATACAGTAACAAAGAAAAATGTAATAGAATTGACTTATGTTTAAAATAGAGCAAGGCTGTAATCCAGTGCCTTCCCGCCTTAGCCTCTGGACTTGGTGGTTTGCATGAAGTAGTACGCAGTGGTGGCAATCTCTGCTTTTTCTGCATCCAGCATCCTGCAGCTGGATGGCATTTTTCAACAGTCTATAGATAAAGCATTGGGGAGGGAGAAGGAGGGATGGCTTGAAAAGGAGATTGGATAAATTCATGAGCAGAAGGTGGTCGATGGCTACTGGCCTTGTTGGCTATATGCTGCCTCCATTATCAGAGGTGCTATGCCCTTCTGTTTCCATGTGAGTTACTCTGGAAACATGGGCAGCCCAACAAGGGAAGGATGCATTGTGTTTCCAATCCTTTGCCCAGTAAGTGTGTTCCCATTCAGAGGAGGTTAGCTCCAGAAGGAAAGAGTTAAACGGGGGCTGGTTTGCACAATTGCAGAGGCCTATCATGCCTCATTTAAGGGTGCCTACTCTCATCAATTCAAACATTTCTATGCCCTGGCATCTTTGTCAGGCTCATCAGATAATGACCAGGTTTGCAATTTGAGCCATGGTGGGTTGTGGTGCATGTTGGGGGGTCATTTTGAATATCCATGTTATACACCTTATGCTATGCTAAAAAGGCCCATGAGTTCTCCAAGGGGTGTTCCGTAAGACACAGAAACCTTCTGATGTGGCTTAAATATTAAAAAGGGCATGCTGCTTGAATGCACATAGTGCGCTGCAGTGATCACGTCACTCCACGCATCATCTGATTGGTAACACAAAGGCATCAGGGTACCCACCTGTTCTAATTAATGGAAGCAGGCACGTCAGTTTGTTGTGTGTAGGAGCAAAAAAGGTTAGTGTTTAGAGGGGCTGAATAATGAAACATCCACCAAACAGCAGGCTTAAACATAAGTAACACAGCCAGGCTCACACATGACAAGCAACAGCACTGCACTGTTTCCATGGTACACAGATTTTTGCCCAAATTTACTGGCCAGACAATTGTCTGTTTCCCTGGACAATGAGTTTTCCCCACTTCCTACTCTGTCCTTCTGCTCTTGCCATGCATCCTCATAGTTCCAAAACCAAAACCTCCTTCCTTATGCTATTGCTCCCTATGGATCCCAGTGGCCTCATCCTGATTGGCCTACTGAGGTTTTGAAGTGGGTTCTCCCTTTCCCCATCCCAAGTGTTCTTACATCCTGCCTGTCCACCTCAACCCCAAAGGAATTTTTCTTAAGTCATAATGAACATTTTTGCCATGATTCCCCCTCTACTTCCTGTGCTTTTACCCGTTTCTCCATGTTTCCAAAAGCAAACAAGGAGATGACCATATCACTCTGCCAACAGAAATAAAGATGGTGACAACACATCTGTTGAGAGCTGAGGATAGTAGAGAACAGATGGCTGAGTCGCTCCCACGGCTGCTCTTTTCATGGGACTCTATGGTGTTTCATAACAACAATGGTAAAATGGTTGATCCCAGGTCCAGATAGCCAGAAAATGGCCAGTAAAGTGTAGTAATCTTAGAACAGACTGTTGATGCACTCCATGCTTTTTGGAAAGCAAAGATACCCCCACAGAAATGCCATGGATAACAGCCCATCAAGGGTAGGAAATCAGCATGGCTTCATAGGATGAGTGAACCTAGCCAATGCCATTCAGTGAGGATAAGCAACATGCTGCAATGAACTGAGGGGACCACTGAGCAAGAGGAGGTTTTTATATGCAGAACTCAGGGAACAAATATGGCAGGCAGGAATTCAACAGGGTTGACTTCTTCCATCAAACCAACTACATGTAAAGAAATTCACCTGCTGAATTTCTGCAGAGCTGCAAGGGAAATCACATTTTTTACCATATGTTTTAAAAAGCTAAGAAGGCAGTCTGACAACCACATTGTCAGGGAGTAGGGTGCGACCTCACAGGAAAAGCAAAGGCAATGGATTATGGTTCCTAATTTATATATCAATAATCATGCATGCCCTGATTCATACACTGTTCTTACTCCAACAGCAAAACATGCATGATTTCAGCACATTATTCTTTAAACCAATCTTTGTCAACCTGGTGTTCTCCAGACATTTGAGACTGCAGCTTCCATTGGCCCTAACCAGCAGGGCCAATGGGAATTTTCTGCCAAAACATCTGGAGAACATCAGATTGGCTACTTTTAACATACTTATAGCCAAAGCTTACTCAGCTTGGGAAAGCAATACCTTCTGGAATACCTCTCCCAACTGTGATCTCCTTGGACATTACATTCAACCTCTGGGGCCTTCATCTGAGTGTCAACCCAACAGGTGGCTCAGAGGTGGCACAAAGGGGGAGGACCTCCTCTGTGGTGGCTCCCCATCTTTGAAAGACCCTCCCTACAGCAGCCCACTTGGCACCACACTTGCCATCTTTTCAGTGCCAGGTCAAGACAATCCTTTATACAGAGGCTTTTAAAGATCTCCTTGATTACCCAGGGACCTGAGGTGATTACCCAAGTAATCCTTTTGTTTTGCAAGGGTTTTTAAAAAATACGCTTTAGAGCTATTTTAAATTACATGTTATTTAACATTGTTTGTTTCTATGGTATTTGTCTTGTCTTGTATGCATTGTATTGTATGCATTGTTGCAAACTGCCCAGACAGCTTCGGCTATGGTACGGTACAGAAATTAAGTAATATGTAAAAACAATCCATGAACACATTAGATGTGCAGTGGCCTTGCCATTAACTTGTCAGTTCTATATGACAGCAGCAAAAAAAGGAGAATCTTCACATAATGTGCAATTCTGTGCACATTTACTTGAGCATATGCTCACTCAACAGGCAGACAAGCCTAGGATTGCACAGGAAGGTGTTGCTCACTATTTTTTTACTGAAGCACTAGAAGGTGCCGGTGGTCAAAGTCCATGTCGAGATTCACGTAGCGCGGAACATCGAGCCGACCGCGTACGTCCCCTAAGGGCAGCGCAGCTACCCCTACTGCCCTGCTACAACCACCAGGCCTGCTTTCCTGCCTCCCACCGCGTCCGCCGGCCACAGTTGCGCAAGCGCACAAAATCCACCACTGACCTCCCTTTTCCCCATCGCAGCAGCAACTCCGCTTGAGACAAGCACAATAGCACGAGTCTTCGTAAAGGGACGGGACCACGCCCACTACGGCACGCCGGTGGTTCGGCGTGAGCCAATCAAACTCGCTCTAAGGACAACAACAAATCCGCGTCTTCCTTTTCCCCCGCCTCCTCTGACGCGTGGCGCTCTCTAGCCCTATGAAGGAGCGGAGCCTTACGTCTCAAGAGTCGCGTAGAAAGAAAGATGGAGTCGGGAGCGGGGCTTGGCTTCATTTTAATCTGTGTGAGGGATGCAATCGTAATGCGCCTGCACGAATGTCGCTCCGACTACTTGCATTCAATCGAACATAAGACTCGGGTTCGGAAAAAGTGTGGAGAGAGAATTTTTTACCAAGTTGCGCTGCATTTGCAAGCCGTCTTGAGACCTGCTGTTATAGACGGGTTATAACTGTTTTAAATCAATAATACATTTTAAATAAATAAAATTTTGCATGCGGTTTTTTATTTGCTGGAAATCTGATACTGCCTTCCGTTTCACAGTGTACAAGATAGGCAATTTAGGATGCAACTCTTTAGGGGGAAAAGTCCTACAACTCCCAGCATTCCCCGTCTTGATTAGGGAATGCTGGGAGTTGTAGAAATTTCCTCCTGTCTAAATATGCATAGATTTGCACCTTAAGAGGAAGGAGGATCAAAGCTATTTCTTAGTAAATGAACTGTTGCACTGCACCACGTTGCTGGCCTAGCATAAGGTATGCTCTTTCAGCTCTAGCTTCGCCTTCTGCCTCAACCTGCAATACGGCGGAGATAACGCGAATTGGTTGTGTTCACACTTGCATTGTCAGAGCGATTTGTGAAATGCTTAGTTCCTTGAAAATAAAAGAAGAAAATTTACGCTTGGGCTGTCTTTGCTTCTACATTTTGGGAGTGTGAAGTGTGGTGGAGTGGAGATTGAAGGCACGCCGGTGCCTAATCAGAATGGGCAAACAGCTATCATGCTCTCTTTGGGAAAACCCTTCTGGATTCTGGTCCCCACCCATCCATGGAGTTAACTGAATGGCTTTGGGCCAGTCAAGAAATCTTAGCCAACCTACCTCACAGGGTTGTTATTTTAAGGATAGAATTGAGAGAAGAAAAATTACTAGAGCTTCAATGAGTTCCTTGAAAGGAATAGTCAGGATATAAATATAATAAATGAATACATTCCTTTGATTGGAAGGAGCCATAGCCCAGGTGGTAGAACATCTGCGTTGCACACAGCAGATCCTATGCTCAATCTGCAGAATCTCCATGTAGAGCTAAGAAGGCTCCTGCTTGAATCCTGAAGAGTCACTGCCAGACTTTGTGGGCAATGCTAGCTAGATGGGCCCAGTATCTGACACAACATAAGGCAGTTTCTAATGAACCTGTGTGTACTTCTCAGGGTTAATGGTTGGAAGTTCATTCCTCCAAGCTACCACCACTCATTAAATTTTCTTAAACAGACCTACACAACATTGCAAGCTTCTCAACTGGCCTTTGCTCCTCAATTTCCAGCCTTTCCAACCAAACTTTGATGGCTGATGCAGCTTATGTCCCAGCCTCTTGAATGTTGGCTCCAGCTTCCAATTCCACCCATTCACAGCAGCTCATTCAAAGTAAGAATGAGCTTAAAGATGCCTGACCCGGGATTGACCATCAAATTCGGGATGAATTTCAACAGATTTGGGGGCGATGTTGAGAACTTTGGGAGGTCCAGCAGTCATTTTCACCCTGTGGACTGCCACCAGGCTCCTAGCCACTCTCCAGTTGTGTATCCCCCTGGAAAAAAAACTGCATAAATAAATAAAATGCCAGTTTGCTACCAAACATTGGCCACTAACTTCTTTGTTGCATTGCAAGTTAAACGTAGTTTGGTTTCCCAGCTGCATTTATGAGTTCTCAGAGATATTTTAGGTGTAAAAAAGAATTTAAACAAGGATTTACGGGGGGGGGGGGGATAAGCAGCAACATTGGGGATGGTGATGCCCTTTACCTCATACTGCCCATCCCTGCCTTAAGTGGATCATTACATCTTGTCTCCATGGCACAACAACAGCTGTGTGGTCCCACTGATGGGGTTCGACTTCTGTGGGATCCGCTGTCTGGAAGATGTTGGCTGGAAGATAACACCAGGGAAGACAAAACAGGAGCCCATGAAATGCTTCCCGAGTAACCGCCTGGGAATTCCTGTCTCTCCCCATTCCTGAATTAGATTTTATCGTGACAGTCTTTCGTAACCCTAACCCATGTCCAGAGACTCTCGGGTCTATATATACACGCTTGCAGTTCGTTCTAAGGAAGATTTCGGTGCGGACCAAATAAGCCTCTCTCAGGAACCGGCTGTAACTCTGGGAAAGCACGGGTTAAACACATAGAGATGATTACTAGAAGGGATTAAAAAAAAACACATAGAGATGATTACTAGAAGGGATTAAAAAAAAACAGACCGTAGAGAAAGAATCGGTGAGAGTAGTTTATGTAAATAGCCCTGCGGTATTTTACGCACCGCCCCTCCTCCTCCTTCAGCCAATAACTTTGCAAGCTGCATTTCTTGGCCCACCCAGCCGTCTTCCCTGGTTGGAAAACGGCGAGAGAGCTGGGTGGAGGAAATATGAGTGACAAGAACGAGCACCAATAAGACGGGGAGCTGTCGAGTCACTCGCTAACCCCGCTCGGTCGCTCGTGGCCCAAGGGGCGGGCCCGGGATCGGGAGCAGCGGCGCGAAGCGCGTCGGGCTGGGAGCGATGGCGGACGAGATCAGCAAGGCGCAGGTGGCCCAGCCTGGCGGGGACACCATTTTCGGGAAAATCATCCGCAAAGAGATCCCCGCCAAGATCATCTTCGAGGACGAGAAGGTGCGGGAAGCCGAGGGAAGCTCTGCGTCCGCCTGTCGACAGGGGCGTGGGGCCTGGCCGCCTGCGTCTTTGGCCTGCCGCTCGTATGCACCTTCGCTGTCGGCCATGCTTGCATAGGCGGCGGTAGGAGGGCCGCACGGGAATATGCCGGCCGGGCCTTCCTTTTCCCTAATTGCTGTTGGCTCCAGAAAGCCCCAGCGGCCCTCCCGCCTTCCCCTCAGAGTTGTCGGAGATGCTCTGCTTCTGTGTGTGGAGGCTTTGCTGAGCTATCTTGGCTAAGCATTGATGGCCTTAAGGTGCAAACCTAAACAGGCACGGACAGAAAAACGTCCTGCAGCTCCCGGCATTGTAGGACATTTCTGTCTAATCATCCATAGGATTGCCCCCGTAATCTCCGAATATATGCGGCCATATGATTGCATTCGCAACCACTTTTATGTCTGCTTTTGATCAGTTTTGCTGCAACATGGAAGTGACTGCATTTGCGGGAATCTGGAAAATCCTGGGTTATCATTGGCAAATAGTGTGTGCATGATAGTTGCTGTATTGGTTCTGGGTGCACTTCTCACTACCTAGAATCCCAGTGACCCCCATCTTCATGGGGCTCTCCAGCCTGAGACAGGAGCTAGTAGCAGGGATGTGAGGTGGTATGGGCAGTTGAACTACCTGCATTGGTTGGTCTTATGTGTGGATGGGTCCTAACCCCAGCTGCTCATCATCCCTGGTGCTGGCTCCAGCATGAGATCTGAAATAACAGTGAGGGTGGAGTGAGACATGGCAAGACTTACCCATGCCAAGGAGAGCAGGCAAGGCTGCCCTGCATCCCTGCCGTTAACTTTGATCAGAGATTGCAACGGAGGTGTGGGGCAGCCTAGCCTTTCTGCACACCTCCTTTCAGCCCCCAAAATGAAAAGGGTGGGTCTACTTTGTATAGAGATATTGCTGGATGTGATCCTGTGACATACTGTAAAAAAACCTCTTGAGTTTTCATAATAGAACTGAATTCTTATAATTTAAAAATATTTATCTGGCTCTGTAAGGCCATGTACTATTAAAAGTTTGCTTGAATTGATGGTATTTCAGTTACAGTTTCATAAAAAGCCATCAGCTCCACACTGAGTTATAATTCTTTTGTACAGCGTTTCCTTTAAAAAAAAGAGTTTTGGTAATGGGGATGAAATCAATCTTGGTTGAAATATTTCTGGTGTCTGTTTTTAAAAGAACAATGACTAAAAACTGCCTCTCCCCTCTTCCTCAGTGCCTCGCGTTCCATGACATTTCTCCTCAAGCGCCAACACATTTCCTAGTTGTACCCAAGAAGCCTATTGCTCAGTTATCGCAAGCGCAAGATAGTGATGAAGCTGTAAGTATAAACAAAGGGTTTTAGAATTTTGTAAGAGTTATTCAGCTTTTCAAGTAAAGGCCAGAGTAAGTTTTCCTTGCTATTCTGTAGAAGCTTCCCAAACCTCAAACCTTTCTTGACCTTTTCCCTTGACTTATTAAGAAGTATTAGTCAACATCTGGAAAGGTATTTGTGGTGCCTGCAGGAATGAAAACAGGACATCCTTCTTAGTTGCATACTCTGTGGATTGAATAGTTTAGTTGCCATTGTGCTCCAGTTCGGAGTAGCACAGCTTCATTAAGAAAAGACCCAACTACTTTCAGCACAAAATTAAAACCACACTGGAATTCAGTGAATTACTTCATTTCTTGTTCAGGTATTTACATCTCGTAGCTGGATTTGCTTGCCAAAAATAAAATACAATTCTATCACATATCTTCTATGGCAAGGACTTCTAGGACTATATTTTAAATGAGTCGCTATCTGTGTTTAGCTGCTTCATGAGTATATAATTAAATAGGCTTACTAAGCAACTTTCCCACTTCTGCAGTGCAGTCCTATGCTTTGTTTACAGGGGAAGAAATTTCACTTTCTGTTAGGCTTAGTCTATAGCCAGTGTGCATAGCCTGCCTTTCCACTATCTCCAAGCCTCTGCCCTGAGCAGCTTTTAAAATAAAACAAGTTTTAAGAGCCTAGAAGAGAGTGTTGCTATTGGGACTCTCAGCATAGGTTGCCTATTCTATACTTTAATATTGTACTAGAAAATTGGGTTTGATATGTACTTTTTTTCCTTTTTTCTGTGCTAACTTTCTATGCAAATAATTACAGATAACTGATAGTTAAATATGCCAGAACAAATCCCCCTTGTCTGCCCCTATTACCTTGCAGTCTTGCATCTACGAAATATTAGGGGAGTGCTTTTTAGCAAGCACACTTCATGAGAGGAGACAGATGCATCCCTGTTTTCACATTCTTTAAAATTTATGAAGTTCTTATATTGGGAGGGATCCCCTAAAGGGGAAAACCTCATCTCATCATGCTGTGAAGGGAATTGTATCTCTGTTTGTGTTGAAAGTGTGCATGGCATCATCACAAAATGCAGTCTTGTGCATTTTCTTAGTATAGTTGCATTGTGCCCCTTGTTCCAAATAGAGCTCTACCCAGAATGTAATGCTCTTGCCATTGTGATATAACTTTTGCTTCTTAGTATTTTTATCCAGTTAGGGCACAGGCCTATCAGGTGTGCTGTTGTCACCTGGAAGGCCTTGAATTCTCAAGTTTCCTATGCCCTGCCGGGCTGAATCTAGCAGGGCAGGTGGAACTGAAGAGGTGATCTTTTCCTCCCTGTTCTCTGATCTCTTGCATTTTGGCTTTTCAGCTTGTCTAGTGAGGGTGCTTTGGAGGTTAGTAAAGGAGGCTAGAGAAGCCTCAGCATAACTTGTGTCCTGGAATCTCTGGTCTCCTCCCAGCCCACCAGAATGTCCCCTTTGGTTGCTTTTCCAGCTTCAGAAAGGCAGCTGTCAGCGCTCTCTGTTCTGGATGCAAGGGGAAGGGGTCTGGTGTCAGCTCTTCCTACTGAGGTTGGAGTGCTGTTTCTGGTCTCAGAAGAGCTTTGCAAGCTATCCTATGGTCCCTGGGGAAAATACACCCCCCACCCCCAGTTCTGATGCAAATATGAACTCCTGGAATCACTTCACATGTTAGATCAGTCAGTAATTACCCTTGGATGGACTGAAACTTCCTGGATGTCTTAAATCCACTGAAAGGATTTCCCTGATCTAGGTTAAATAAGCCAGGCACTACTGCAATTTTCACAAAGTTTGTCTTATTGCTCAGTTTGAGTTAAGTAAACATGAACTAGGCTGAATGATCTGCTTTTGTCCTTGCAATGCAGTCCTCAAACTTGAAATGTAAAATCCTTTCTAAGGGCCGCAATCCTGTGCACACATACTTGGGGATAAGCCCCACTGAACTCAGTAGGCTGTGTTTTTGAGTTTTCGTTAAATATTGTGAGGCAAGGATACCTCATGGTGTGAAAAAGCAGCGCTTCCATAAATCAAGTCAGGTTAGCTGCTGTGATTTATGAGAGCATTGCTTTTCACACAGTGAAATGACAGTCACCCTGACACATGAGTAACTGCTTTCTTCTGCTATTTGACAACTGTGTGCCTTGGCTGCTCTTTGTATCCCTAATACAGCAGTTCTGGGCGGGCCTGGAAAAATGGATCATAAATCATAGGAAGCACGGTGGCTTAATTCTCACTTTTTATGTGAGATGTTTAAATTGATTTTTGTAATCTGAATTACCAACTTCGATATTAATGTTTGTAGAATATGAGAAGTATCAAAAACACATGGGAGCGTTGAATGTTTTATTGCACTTGTTCAAAATTAAGATGGGATGTGAAATAAGGATGTTCATATTAAAAATTCCTCTGGGAATACCGGTAAACATCAGAACAGCTAAAGCTCATATGCCAACAACAGAAATAGAGCAGGGGAAATTTTTTTGATGTAACAAGGATTTCTCCTGAGCTTAGGTCTTTTGAAGAGCGTCTTCCCCTTTGGCTCTTGTACCAGAAGTTAATAAAAAAATACTGGGCAGAATTTAACATTGCACTGTCACTAATGCAAATAATACCGTACTGGCATAAACTATCCCTAGTACAGTACCACTAGCGCCTGCTGTTGCAGTGGGTTTTCCTGCAAATCTTGGCCTGCTAGCAAGTGTAATTGGCATTGCAGTAGGCAGAGTTTATCACTAGTACAACGTCATTTACATTAGCAATTATATAATGTAGTGTGGAATGTTGTGCAGGGTGATTTCCTATATAAAAATAACACTTTTGGATTCGTAATGACTTACAAGGAGAAAAAGAGCTCTTGAACAGTTGTTAAGTCTAAAAATTAGGCCAGATGTTGCAGGCATGGGGTTAGACTTAGCTGTGCCTTTGACTAAATGACTTAGGATGGTGTGTCTTTATTTCCTTTCAGCTTCTTGGACATCTAATGATTGTTGGCAAGAAATGTGCTTCTGAATTAGGCTTGACCAGAGGATACCGAATGGTGGTGAATGAAGGATCAGATGGTGGCCAGTCGGTCTACCATGTACACCTACATGTCCTTGGAGGTCGTCAGATGGGGTGGCCTCCAGGTTAAGGACTACATGAGAGGTATAGGAATATTGCCCTCAAACTGTTGCTTGAATCCAGTGTAAAAAATGTAAAAAATCCAACCACGCTTAATGAAGTCCAGTCACTTGTGGAGAACAATAAAAGTTTGTGAAAGCCTCATCCAATAAAATTACAAGTATGTTGGATCCCCAGTTTGTATTCTTTCCAGTCATTTTACGGTTCTGTCACTGAGTTTGAATATATCTATAAGTTGCTGATCTTCTATAGATGTGGCATTCATAGGATTCTTGGATCCTCTTCTGTCCTGTCACTGACCAGGGAGACCTGTGTAGTTCCAGCACAGTTGCAGCTTTTTATGTGTTCAGACCATAGCACTATTGCAACCAAGGCGGTTAAGCTTCTTCCCCATCCACATTCCATGTATGTGCCATATATTTTTTCATTCCTCTCAGCAATGTGAGATGGTAGGTGTTCTCATTTTGCAAGGGCAGGATTTTGCAAGCTGTAACCCCAGGATTAATCTGTGATTCAGTGGTTTAATCTGCCAGTGGAAGAGAACTGTTGTGAATTTTTTCTTCCCTTGGCATGCCCAAGAGAGGTAGGAGGTACTCTGGAGCAAATCTGGGACATGTATATGGGGGTGAAGTAGGGAGGAGTGAACAGGGAAGTCCCACTGCACAAGTGGAAGTCTCCTGTGAGAGTTGGATCAAATACAGAAATAGGGGTTTGAGTTCTGGCCCTCAATGAATCATTTAGAGTTCTCTGAAGCTGAATTAGTAGCTGAATCTGTGAAAACTAGGCACCCATTCAACTAGTATTGTTTCTACTGGCTTAAGGTATATTTTCCACTTGATGGTTGATGAATTCTGCAATTTCTCCACAATTGCAGAGATGTGGAGAACAGATTGCTGGGGAGTCATGTAGAAAGATGCCAAGGAACTCTTAACAAGACTCAAGCGCTGATAGCCTGAACCACCAACTGGAGAAGAGTAAATCTAGTCCCAAAGTGTGACAGAATGGATCGCACTATTAACAAATAAGAAATATAACAGGGTTGTTTTGTAAGCTGCCTTGGTTTTCTTGCGGGAAAAAGGCGAGATAATAAACAATAGGTTTGGTTGGATGAAAAATTCTTCCTTTTATTTTATTTTATTTTATTTTATTATTTATTTATTATTTATTTATTTATTTATTTATTAAAACATTTTTATGCCGCCCCATTCGCCGAAGCCTCGGGGCGGCTCACAATAATTATAATATAAATTAAAAATATAAATATTAAAATACAACAATACAGTATAAAATAAGCCGCCCTGGCCAGATAAAACCAATAATGTTAACAGTTAAAATGCCGCTTGAATAAAAAGGTCTTCGCCTGGCACCGAAAAACAAATAACGACGGCGCCAGGCGGACCTCTCTGGGGAGCGCGTTCCATAACTTAGGCGCCACCGCTGAGAAAGCCCTCCTCCGAGTAACCACCCTCCTAATTTCTTTCATGGAGGGTTCCCGGAGAAGGGCCTCCCCCGCTGATCTCAAGGGGTGGCTGGGCATATATGGATGCAAGCGCTCCTTCAGGTAACCAGGACCCAAGCCGTTTAGGGCTTTATAGGTCATCACCAACACCTTGAATTGGGCCCGGACTTCAATGGGGAGCCAGTGAAGCTGACAGAGAACTGGAGTCATGTGAACACAACGCCCGGTCCCCGTCAGCAGCCTGGCAGCTCTGTTTTGAACCAGTTGAAGTATCCGGACCGTCTTCAAGGGTAGCCCCACGTAGAGCGCGTTACAGAAGTCGAGACGGGAAGTCACCAATGCATGTGTCACTGTCGCGAGGCAGTCATACTCCAGATAGGGGCGCAGCTAATGGATCAGCCGAAGCTGGAGGAAAGCGCTCCTCGCCACTGCTGTCACCTGAGCTTCTAGTGTAAGCTCCAGGTCGAGGAGCACTCCCAAGCTGTGAACCTTGTCCTTAAGAGGGAGTGCAACCCCATTCAGAACAAGGTTCAGTTCACCCTCTCCAAAGCCAGAACCACCAACCAACAGGACCTCCGTCTTGTCTGGATTGAGCTTCAGTTTATTGGCCATTTATCCCATTGTTTATGTATTTCATTTTACTTCTATGCCACTCCATAACCTAAGGGTTATCTCATTGTTTCCCCTTGACTTCTGAGATAATCCTACTCCCATGAAATTGAACAATTTCCACATTTATTGGGAAAAATCACCATGCTTGCATGATTCCTTTTAATCAGCTGCAGGAACTTCAGGGTGAAATGGGAAGAGCAGAGCAAATGGAAGAAATTGTCATGGAAGCTCTGCTGTTAGGAACCATAATGGGCAGGCCTGATTGGGTTTGGCGGCTGCTGCAGCAGGTCTTGGGAAGGTGAATGTGTTGTTGGACCATCTGCTGTGCATGAGCCCACAGAAGATGGGAAGGAGGCAGTCCAACCTGAAGAAGACCAGAGTAACCAAAGCTGGATTCTGCACATGCGGCTTCTAGGGAGCTGCAAGTCACTTTCCTCTGCTTAAGAAAGTGACTGTGATGCATATCTGCAGTTTGGAGGCAAGAAAGGATTCCCAGAGAAAAGCAAAACATGCAAGTCTTGAAATGAGCAATCCTGTCAACATTTAGACAATGAAATCCAACAGTTTGCAGTATTCTGCAATAATGCTGGGAATTGTGGGGTTTCTTTTATGTCTAAACATGCAGAGCAAAGCAAAGGCATTTTTTTATTTTAAAGCAGTAAAATGCACACAGTAAAATGCCCCTTCTTTTAATGCATCGTTAAATATTTCTGGTTGGCTGGCAAGGCTTAGCACTCTCCAGCTGAAAAACAAGAAACCTCATTGTAAAATCCCTCCTGGAAGGTGCTTAAAGTTATACAGTGTCAAGGCAGCCCCATTTCCACCGTCCTGAAAGGGATTTGGAAGTCTGTACAGCAGCAACACACCATTTCTAGTTATGATACATGACAACAGTCATGAAACAGATTACGGAAGAAGGGGTACCTGAACTTAGTTCCAAGTGGTAGCCAAGACTACATGTGTGATATGCTGATTATGTAGGGTTTGTGATGTTGAAAGACTGCTAGATATAAAGATGCCACACAGTATTCATTAACTACCTGAGAACAATGATCACAGTGCTACCAAATTTAAGTAGTACAAAGAAGTCAGATCTTGATGGAGTTTGTATGATGCAGCAATCCATTGTGGATACCTAGCCACAGTGTGGGTTGTTAGGACATGCAAAACGCATACATAACATCTGATAACATCTGTTAGGACTGCAGCCATGACATCTGTCAAAATAGCCCCATTTAGCCCTGTCAAGAATCCTGCTTAAAGCACATGTTAAAAATAGTTCTTGAGAAAGTTTATGAACAGGGAGGGGGTTCTAAATCTTGTCTTGCCAGACTTCTTAGAGACGGGGGGAAGTGTGGAAAAGGTGGAGGAGTCAGAACACTGGAAGTTGGCACCTGAAAGTTGTGACTACCTTTTGTGTGCATGGATGTGTGTTGGGTAGAGAAAATGAAGTTGAAAGGAAGATGCTCTCTTGGTTATTTAAAAGTAAAGTAATGGTAGCTCAGCTACAGCTCTGTCCCAGTTTAGGGAAGTTGCAAATGAGGCCAAGAGGATGCCAACATGGTTAACTTGCATAGGCAATGAAGATTAAAAGGCAAGTTGAGATCATTTAAAAAGTGCAAATGAGACCAAGAAGGAATGGAAACTGCCACAGAAAAGTAAGTGGGCAATGAAGTGGGCACAGGACTTTGAAGAGCTAAGAAGATTAAACAGTAATGTATTCAGATTCATGAGAGCTGGGAGGTGGGTCAGGGTGGTAGGTGGATTGTTACATTATACAGGGATGAAAGGATTAGCAAAAGAAAGCTGAAGAAATACTTTGCATCTAGAGTCACTGAAGAAAATATTGGTACATAAGGTAGTGGTAAAAAATTATGGCAATGCTAGCTATGGCTGGTGGGAGTTGTATTTCACTGGAGTTGGGGAAGTTGCCAAGTTGGGAATGTGTAGTGTAGATAAACTGAACTGAACAATTGATCTCATTTGGTATCTAAGGCATGTTCCTGTGTGAACTGGTTTTCTCTTTTTTCTGGTTTACAAACTACAGCCCCAGTTCATTTATGGTAGCGCTCAGGGTGCATGGCTTGCAGCAGGAAAAGAGCAGAGTTAGCATTCAGTTGTGACCTTTAGCAGCTAACCTTTATACTGCTTCTAGTGATGGCCAAATGAGTTGGACAACATCTATAATTCCTGACTATTTGCCATGCTGATTGGAACCTCTGGGAGTTGTTGTCCAAAATATCTGGAGAGTAGCAGCTTGCCTGCCCTGCCATAAACTTTCTTGCAGTATTCCACAATGAATGATGGAATCTGAGCTAATGGGAAAACAATATTCAATATTCTTTTATGGATCTCACGAGCTTTGGTGTGAGAATTGTAGTATAGTGTCAGATTATCACCTGGGGGACCCTGCTTCAAATATCTGGTTAGCTATGAAAATGACTTTGGGAAAATCCCTTATTGCTCAGCCTAACCTACGTCACAAGGTTGTGTGGAAGTATGCTACCTTACTCTTCTTGGAGGAAAACTTGGCTAAAAACCTCAGTATCTGCAAGGCAATGCTTCTTCCCCTATCCCTCAGTGGACTGATGGAGAAGGCAGCCTGGTTCACCTTCCACATACATGCAGGATTCTCACCAGACCTGTAGGAGCTTGCAAGATTAGCACCAGTCTCATACAGACCAGCTGGGGGCCACAGAAGGCTCCAAATGAGGCTTGGTAGTGGCTGCATCCCTGACGTAGTTTCTGCTTCCAGTCCTTCACTGGTTTTGCTCCTTGCCCATTCCTGACTCTGCCTTCTCTTCTAGTACGGCTGTGCCTTTGCTATATTTGACCTTCTCTGGTTCTTGTCCCTGCTCTTGCCACTGGCTCTGCTATGCTTTGCCAAGTGTCTGGACCCTTGTCTGAGTAAGCCTTGCTTCTCTATCCACTTCCGTCATTCCAGACCTGGTGTTCCAGTTGAGGATGCCTGCTGACCAATAATGGCATTAGGAGGGTGACTACCCAGAGATAGGAGGGTGACTACCTGGAAAAGGGCCTTTTCTGTGGTGGCACCCCGATTGTGGAATTCACTCCCCAGAGAGGTTTGCCTGGCGCCGTCGCTTTATTATTTTTGGCACCAGGCTAAAACCGTTTTATTTCCCCCATGTTTTAAGATTTGATTGTTTTAATAGGGGTTTTATTGCTGTTTGGGAATTTTATTAGGACGCTGTGTTTTATTTTATATTGTCATATTGTTAAACCATTCCAAGACCACAGTATGGGATGGTTTAGGAAAGTTTTAAATAGCTAACTAAATATATGGCATCACTGCTCTGGCCACTGCTACTTGGGGAGAAGAAAACATAGGTTGCCTGGACCTGTTAGCCTCTGAGTATATCTTTTAAAAGCTTCTGTATAGTTAAGTTGACTAAAAAGACTGGATGAAAGCAAGGGGCATTTTAAATAAAAACAAGACCACTCAGGAATGACAACTAGAGAAAGAGCAATCTATTTCTATGTTTCTCCTATAGGTGCAGTAGTATAAAGAAAAACTTGACCAGTTGGACCTAAAGGGGTATGTTATTGTTCAGTGCAAAAGCTGTGCCAGTGCCTTGAAATAGTTGTTTGCTTTTTCCTACCTTTATGTTGGATTTCTACAAACATGGTGTTTAATCAGTGCCTTGACCTAATTTATTTGGATGTGGGACAGTTTATTTGATTGGGTATTTTCAGGATTGACCACATGAGGGCAGAGCAAGACAATTGTTTGCTACTTTCTTAGGTGGTTTTACTTCCCTTTTAAAATCTGTATGGAAATATTGACTTGATTGGGGACTTATTCATGCCAACTAGACTGCACAGGCAATATAAATGAACCTGTAATCAATCTGTTTGAATTACAATAGTATTAAAGGTCATTAGACTGAAGCCAGCGCTTGCTGTGCAATTGAGGATTATGAACCTTCTAAATTCAACTTACAGATGGACTAATTAAAGTTTTGTGCCATCACTACTCATTATATCAACAATCATCTGGTTAACACATTATATTTTCCAATGTGAGTATTTAACCAGGAAGCCCTTGTATGATGCAAATTGATGTGATTTTTCTAAGTTAGTGTTCAACAAATATTGAAACGTTCTTTAAGACCTTGCCCTACCCTTGGAAGTTCTGGCATAAACTCCATCCAGATGCATTTATTTAATTGGATGATTCAGAATTACTTTTTGTACAAACCATTAGTCTGATGCTCCTCAAACTGGGTGCAGGCCAGAACACAATGAAGTATGCTTGAGGGCAAATTGACACGGCTTATGCCCATGCCAGGGGCTGTACTAAAGGAGAAGAGGGATAGCTGTTGCAAGGATGTTACAGGACTGGTGACAGTTCTGTACTAGTTGCACTTACTGTGTCATATAAAAATCATGGTAAACCTCAGGTCCTCGGGCCAAATATGGCCCACAGCAGGTTCCACAGAGGACCTTTCCCCCCTTTCCTGACCATGCCTCATTTCCCCTGACTTGGTGGCTTCCTGGCTTTTGCACCATTTCCCTCAATCCTGAAATGTCTTTCCTAAGGCTTATTTTTGGCAATAAGAGCCTTACCTAAAATATGTTTGTATTCTTGCTATTGTAGCTCTTCCTCCCCCCCCCCGCCCCCCATGCTTTTAGCTCTGCCCACCACGAGTGTGTGGCTCCTGAAACCGAATCTGGGCCTCAGGGTGGAAGAGGTTCGCCACCCCGTAAGAGAAATCCTTTGCTTTTTGGATTAAGCAGTTCACTGCTGCTGAAGTGTATTCCCATTCTTGTTGCTGAGATTAAAGAGACATGGATCGTAAGTGAATTTTGCAGTGCATCACCATGGCTGCTTATTAAGCAAATATGCCAGGCAAATGATGGATTTATCAGATAATGAGCTGCTTTGAAAGCATTCCACTGAAATAGATCTCTTACTAATGAAAGCAAATAATTGTAGAAAAGTATTATCACGTTGATTATATTCACTCAAATCCACTGGAAACTAAACAGGGAATCGCATCCTTTCAAGGTGCAGTTGAAGGTGCAGGTTGGTGCAGGAGAAGGACTTTGCAGCAATGATTCAAAGGGCCAAATGATAGTACTTTTTCAGTTGCTACCACTGTGATGCAAAGCTCTATTATTTCACAGCATTTAAACAACTAGGTATAGTAGCTGGAATACCACAATTCTTGTGAATTGATCCCTGCGTTAGAGAAGCACGGATCATTTTACTAATGTTACAAGTTCTTATCTAGTAATGGGAATATGCAACCGTTGTGCATAAGATGCTGCATGCGAAGAAATTCTTTCCCACCCCTGTTCATGACATTTTGTACCACCAGGATCATGCACCACAAAACTGCGTGTCAATCTGCATTTCTGTCTTTAGTTTGTGTGGGCGAAGTGCAAAGAAAAGTGCTTCTGTTTCCCCTCCGTGAATGGAATTTTTTTCTCGAAAATCCCCTAAAGTTACCATTGATTTGGTTGAAGAGATCAGTCCCTGCGTCTTTTCTGTGCTCCAAGTAGTAGAAAGGAAAGGACATGACAGTATCCAGTCTGAAATTGGTTTTGAAGATACCAACCTAAGTGACTGTATGCTTTGCATCTCTGGCCTTAGCAGCATTGACACACAGTGCTTTTACTAGCAATATAAACTTGGAGGTCTTGCTCAGCATTGACTGAAAAAGAATTTAGCTTAGGTTTTAAGTGATATTTGTGATTCTGTGTGACAGGAGTGCACTTTGCAATAAGCTGCTTACTGAATTTCAGTGACAGGGGTTGCAACCTCTCCTCCCGCCGCCGATTGCCAAAGTGAACATTCTAGCACAAACAGGTCCCACATTTATTTTTCCAATACACACTTTGCGTAATTTTCCTCAAGCAATGGGGAAAAGAACAAACTTTTCTTCAAAAGTGGCCACATGTTACTCTCTGCATTTCTCGACAATACACAGCTTCAAAGACATTTTTAAATTGATGTTTCTGCATCCTTTGGGGAACAGAAAGGACAGACACTAATGCAAAAAGCCCCGGAGCACAAACTTTTGGATCCATACGCCTTCAGAAACTGATTCATTCTTATATGAAACTGTTGGTAACAATTTTTGTCTGTGAAATAATGATCACAGGCTTCGAATACCACACTCTGGAGAGGTACAACAGACGACTACTAGGAAAACGGTTTGGTTTTGTTGCACTGCGGTCTGATCTTATGAGCTGCTGTTGCATTTTGCTTCCAGACATATACCCAACTCCAGTGTTCGTTGAGATAACCATGGTGCATTCAGGTGCTCCATCTTTTGACTATTTTCCCCTCTTCATCCACCAAGCTTAATAAACTCTACATGTTTGATCTTGATACCATACTGCTGATTGTCCATGAATTTCTTTGTGAAGACTATTCCGTAATTGAAAAGGTATCATTTAAATGCTATATCTAGAGATGTGTGCAAAGAACTACTCAAAATTCCCCATGCATTTTGTGGGCAGAAAAATTAGGGATAGGGAAAAGTCACTGAATTTAATCAGTGGGAAGATAATTTTTCAACAATTTCTCACAGGATTGGTTCACCATTGGCAGGGGATGTAGATCAGCTTCTTTTTGGGGGCTCTTTATGTTCCCAAAAGCATCTGTGTTAGCTTGCAATTTGCATCTCTCTCAATGCGTGTGCAAGCTGGTTGGTGTTGTGTCTCGTCTTGAGAAGTGGCGCTAGTGCTGAGCAAATATTTCCTGACAGTTTCCTCTCCTTCCATTTTTCTCTTATTCTCAGGGTGTTTTTTAGTTTATTTTTGAGGTGTTTTGGAGCTGGGTATGTACTTTCTATTATACACTTCTCCATTGCTCTGCCATATCCTAGGATGACTGTAGTTCCTGATCTGGGGAAAAAAGGAAGAAAAAGAAAAAAAAAATGGCAGAGGAGGAAGTATCTCATGATGTCTTCCGCTATCCTAGGCTTTAACTTAACTTTGGGAACCAGAGTGGCTACAGACTGCCAGAGTGATGACTGTACAATGAAAGACAGGATGCTGTGCTTTCTCCTCAGTCACCTCATAAGTAAGGTAAGCACAAGAAATTCAAACCCAAGCCATGAGAAATTCTCCAAAATGTTCTTCTCCATTCAGTTACTTTTTAAAAGCGATTTCCTTTCTGTCAAATGGAATGCGAATGGTCAGAACAAATGGGGATTTTTTTCCGTGCAGCACTAGTTATACCTAATACAATGCAAGTTACTTTGTGCATGGCAGATCCCAACTGCCTATGTGTGAGCAGGTTTTCCAATTGTGGGGAAGCCACCGTGTGCGTGCATTTTCATGCATTCCTTTGGATGAGTGTCGCTAAGGGATGTGACCAGCAGGTGTAGTTCTTCTCTACTTTCACACATTCAATGAACGTGTAAAGGGAATGCCTGAACAAGGCCTTGTTATCATATGCTAAAAATATTTAGGAACTTTTGACAGCAGCTCAGATGTCTATTGATGCATTGCCAGTAAAGAAAACACATCAGTACAAAAAGAAGGCACCAGCTTGTACGAAATGTTGCATGTGCTATTTATGGATACAGATGCAAAGGCCCCACATTTCCCTGTCATGGGATGAGGTGACTGTGTGCCATCTCAGCTTGTGATCTGCATGCTAGCCATGGGTGGGCAACTTCAAGGCCCCGGTATGCTCTGTTCTCTTGGTACCTTAAATTGGACTTGAAGCAGTGAGCCCTTCAAAAGGAAGAAAGCTTTATAGAGAAAGAAGGACACATGGCTGACCTCTCAGTAGCAGTCCTGGTTCTTCCAGAAATCAGTTTGTTTTCTTTCTGGTTTTGTGTAAAGTTTTTGTCCTAGTACCAAAGAACGTGAAAGGCTGCAGCTTTTGAAGACAGGTTTAATGATCGTCGGAGTCTGTTGCTCTTGCATACAGGATCAGAGTGGTTAGATGCAGCTGCAAAGAGGACTCAGCCTATGATGCAACATTGGCATCAGTTGCTGAATCTTGGCACCATTGTGTATGATATGTGCAGAGCATTAATAAAGTGTTTAAGGATGAATGGTTTATTTATAGCATTCTTCTTATAGCACAAGTTGAAAATAAAACTCTTTTAAGAAGTGAAGATAACTAGAGCTTCACTGACAAGGCTCCTTTTACTGACAGTGAAATGAACAGGAAAAAAGATTCCTCCAGACACCAGAAAAGGAGACAGGTAATTATCTCAGACTTGGGTGTTTCTGTGCTGTTTCTGAAGTGGGAGTTAAAGCGCTTGCTGTAAAGAGCATTGTTAAAAGGCTAGCATCAGTTTTTGCTACACAGTTTTCATTGTATATTCTGGCAGAATATCAACTAGATATTGCAAATGAGGCACTTTTGGGCAGATGCAAGGCACAGAGTTATACGCACATTATGGCTGCATTAAGAGAATCAATGTGGTGTTGTGGTTTGGAGTGTTGGCTGGGGACTGAGGAGACCTGGTTTCTAGTTCCCACCAGGTCATGAAGCTCACTGGGTGACTTTGGGCCGCTCTCTGACTCTCAGCCTAACTCAACTCTCAGGGATATTGTGAGGATAGAAGAGGGCTGAGGACCATGTAAGCAAGCGTGGGCTTCTTGCGAGGAATGAGATCAACGTAACAACAACGTGGCTTGCCTTCTCGATAGTCAAATAAATTTAAATGGGACATTTCTGCTTGCAATTGCTTGGCCATTTCAACACGTTCTATATACTGTTTCCCCTGCCACTCTGCATTAGGTGTCTGGAACTATTAACTTCCTTCCACAAAGCAGAGGAAGGATGAACACAGATTATGTAAATCCCAGCAGTGATTCCATGTCAGAAGCACATTCTCTCTAAGTGTAATAGGCACATATTTTTCAGTTCAGTTGGAGCAGGATTCGAAAGAAAGTCTTTGTTTTGTTTTTGTGTGAAATTCACTGTTGCTTTTATCAACCATAAACAACCCACCTGGCATTTTCTCATGGCAGGACTGTGCACAGTACAGATGGACCTTATATCAATCAGTAATTAATCTCTTTTCCTTCCAAACTCAATTCTGAAGTGCAAAAGCAAGGTGGGGGGAGGTGGGTTTTTAGCAGCCGTGCTAAAATCATAGGATGCATCTCTCTTCCCTGTCTCAGGTATTCCATCTGGACAGCACCACTTGCTGAACTGGCTTACCACTGGATGTTTGTGACCTGAGTCCAGACCTGAGCTGCCGGTTAAGTCTCCAGGCAGGGGAGGAGGATTAGTGATGCTCTCAAGTGGCCCTCTGTTCGCTCTTTCAGAAGAAGCCCGATTTGCATAGTACTGATGAGCGGGCCCTGCTGAGGCCAGGCTGTTTTGTGCAGTGACCTTTTCCCGCACCAGAGTTCTACTTTGTCAGTTCAAAGCATGCACAGCATGAGGCCAGACAGAGGCAGACAGCAGTTGCGTGCCCTGTTACTCAAGTGATGCTCTTCCTGTGTGAGGTTCACATACTGTACACAGGATGCTGTGCCTGTTGCCCATGCAGCGTATCTGAGGTGGCTCATTTCAAGAAGTGTAGTGGCTTCTTCTTCTGCCAGACCCTAAAGCCCCTCAGTAGGATGGGTCTCAAGTACAGAACTGCACCTTTAAAAACACGACAAAACAGCGAAATAGGCCTATGTATGAAGTCTGCATGGAAAAGCGCAAAGCCCTTTGCTTAAAGAAACCAAAATGCAAGGCTGATCAACAACTTGTATATATTGCTATTATGGTATGTCTATGTGTGTGTGTTATTTAGGCACAACAAGTGCTTTTAAAAGACACTGATTTTTCCTTTCCAACTTTGTCTTGATATATTCAACAGCAGGTCTTGGAACCTGGCTGAGGATCTTAGCTCCCACCACCAAAATCTGAATTGGCAACTCTGCCAGTAAAGCAGTAGACTGAATTTAAATAGTTTGACATATACTGTTCCCCAAAGAACACCTTTTCTTCAACTATCTCATTGAAGAAATGCCTTGAAATGGTGGGCCGGTGGCCCTTTTCTGCAGAAGGTACATTAATGCAGCCTTTTACAACTTGCTGCCTTCTAGATGCGCTGGAGCTTGCTGCCATAATTCCCAACTATCTCCACCTTTGAAAAAATTGCTACTTTAGTACCATCTTATTTTATCTTCTCATTCCTGCATGAGATCTGCTGAAATCTCTTCTTTACAGTGACAGGAGCCCATCTGTCTTTCTGCCCATCTCCTGAGCTGACGGAAGTGGAAGAAGGTATGCATCATGTATTCAAATCTAGCTTATCACCAGCTGCAAACGTATGAGAATAAATATGATACAAAACAGTGATCTAATGGAGAAAAACAAGCAAGCAAGATGTCGATTTGGCCAAGTCTGATTTCAGAAAGTATTCCATTTACAGGTTGGTAAATTAAAGTAGCACAGTAAACCTTTACTCATTGAAATATATGTGAATAGTGTACTTATATGGAAAACACATTTTACCAGAGATCATTGCTGAATCCGATAAAAAAAATAATCAGAACTCAGACCTATCATATAAATAAGGGTTGTATTTTTCTCTGCCTTCAAAGACTTAATGAGATGCCTTGTTTATAGGCCTGTGCTAGGCCAACTATCACACCTGTTAAAATGTTTATCCTTTTCCTGCTTTAAGTAACATTGCACCTCTCCATGTCTCCAGCTCTCTGTGTGAGGAAATCTGTATCTGAGTACATTGAAATATTCTGCATGGGGATTGATGTGGATTCTGCTTACCCTGAATGGCATGAAGGGTCAGATACGGTCATTGATGAGGTTCAGTCTGCACAATACCCAACATGTAAGGGTGAAATCTAAGCTGAACCATGGCTTATTGCTGAAATATGTGTTATCGTGTTGCTTAACGAACTCATGTGAGGTAACAAATGATGGTGAACAACCCTCAGTTCACAGGTCACGGGCTGTTCATGCCTGTAAGTAGAGCTGCATTAGACAACATGTTTCAGCACAACCCCTGAGTGTGGGTTCTCATGCTTGTCTGAATATAGCCATTCCGTGAAACTGATCACAGTCACGCTAATTCATCAGTCCCCTTTGTCCAGCAATGCAGAACCCAAGGCCTGTGGAGCATGGAAACATAGAACATAGAAGCACAAAAACAGAGGGAGTCGGAAGGGACCTCCTGGGACATCTAGTCTGACTCCTGACTCCACTCATGACATGCCTACCATGTGCATGTCCAGCCTATCCTCAAACACCCTCACCGTTGGGTCTTCAACCACCTCCTGTGGAATCACATTCCCTACTTGGAAACCCAATCCATATCTGAAAATCTGGCCCTCTACTGTCCAAGTCTTGGCCTCTGGGATTGTGCAGGTGGCAATTTCTCTCTCTCTAGTCCAATTTTTCTTTTCCTCCAGCTATCAGTGGCTGGGTAGTTTGCTGGTGTTCATGCAGTTTTCTCCATTCTGTGAGCTTGTAAAAGTTCTCCCAGTGCAGGCCTGTGCCCTTACCCCTGAGAGGTTCTCCCAGGGAGAAGTCAGCCCTTGGGCTGAAATAGGTTCTGTATCCTGCCCTAAGGACACACATCTCCAATATAACTTCATTTGAAATTCTGCCCGATTACTTAACAGCCTCAGCCGTGGATTTGGATCCTTCCATCCAGGACATTGTGGCATTACATCTGACACTAGGTGCGCGAACTCTACCAAATGGACAAAATTTAGGGGATGTGTGAAGGATCATTCCTTTAATCCAGCTACTGCAACCATTCAAAGGATATTGGCATTCCTGCAAAGAGGAACTAACCTCTATCAAAGTGTACCTATCTGTGCTCTCCGCCTTCTGAGGTCCCATTAAGGGCCGATCTGTCCTCAATGGTGGATCACTTGGGAGTGGGAGCAAGCCAAAGTGAAACCATGTGAGACTGCACAGCGTAAATGGCATAAAGGACCAGGCTGCACAAGCACTTGGGTGTAGATGGCTTTTGATCAGGCTGAAGAAGCCCTTTGGATTTCATCGTTCCCTTCAGTCAGGCATCAATTTCAGTCTCAGTTTCAGAGAGCAGAAAGGCCAGTGGTTAAAGTACTGCTCTGGGATGTGGAAGATCCGGGTTGTAGTTCCCACTTGGCCATGAAGCGCATGGGGTGACTTGGGTCAGTCCCTGACTCTCAGCCGAATCACCTCACAGGCTGGGACAATGGAAAGAAGGTGGCTGTGAGGATACAATGGAAAGAACCAATTCTGGGTTCCCTGAAGGGAAAAAGGTAGACTATAGATAGGAAGTCCAGACATCCTTAGCTACCCAACCATGGCTGTCTGAGCTTCCTGAACCAAACAAAGGTCCCCTATGCAAACACTGATGCTGAAGATGAGCAGCCATCCCTGCCAAAACGCAGCTCTTACTACAGAGATTCCCGACAAATCTGAAATTCCAAAGTCATATAGTATACTTAATACAGAAATGCTGAACCATCAAGATCTCAATATTTATAAAATGCAAGCTGTTGATGGTCTGGCACAGTGAAAAGCAACACATTTTTATTTGGATAAGTGAGCGTCATCTTGCCAAGGCATTAGATTATTATGGCTCATCCATCACAACATCGTATTTTCCTTTGCCATACAATAACACTGATTTTAAAATAACACAGATCCATTTTGTTGGATCACTGTGCATAGGCCCTGCCTACGCTATAACTGAGCCCTCCTGTTTCTCTTTTTCACTCATTCTGGTACTTAAAACAAAAGCCCCAGTGCTGTATTGGCATCGCATTACTGCTTTCAGAGCATTCAGCCACTGAACTTCTAAAATATTGATTTATGTTGTGTATAACAAGCCAGTTTTCGAATGGAAAGGAAAATTAAAATTCTTTATCAAACACAACAATAGGGTCCTGGGGGAAATTTCTATGAAGGATTTTTGTCTGAAGGAAATGTTTTGTATTTAATTATTGGCTTACAGACCAGTCCTGAGACTTGCTGTGCCAGCAAATAAAAGCTTGTCTTGGGCTGTATCGATTCCTAAGCCACAGCAAAGCCTGCACCAGGCACAAGCACAAGCAATCCAAGGGCAAAGGCAGCCACAGTACTTAAAGGGCAGCTACAGTGGGCTGCGCTTCATCGTTCTTTAGCAATGCAGCAGAAGTAGAAATGCTTTAAGTAAAAAGTTCTTTTGTGGTACAGCCAAGAGGTAAATGCTGTTTTTGAAGGCACTCCTGCCAAAGTTCTAGAGAGTCTCTGAAGATGCACCCCAGTTTTCCAGCTAAGGGTGTTCAGGCACCGTTGTCCTCCTGCCCACTGAGATAAAGGGAGAATTTCACACAGGATTGCCATTCTGGCATTAAGCACAGCTTTTAAAAACGTTTGCCTTGGTTTGCTGGGTAGTGCCATTTGGACTCCAGTCCAGGCAATAAAACATCGTGGGCCATCCACATTTCTTCCTCCTTTTGGAGAATGAAATGCTGCATAATGGGGAAAGACTGGAGTGATTTCATCAGGTCCATCTTGGGCACATAATTGCAGGTTTGCAATTTTCCCAGTCCTAGCAGGAGGAAGAGATGTTGGGGTGGTGACAGACAGGTGAGAGAGCAAGGCAAGGCTGTCTCCCAGGGAGCAATCCTAAGCAGGCTTCGACAGGAAAGAAGTCCTACAACTCCAAGCATTCCCCAGCCAGTAGGACTTTTATCTGCCTAAACTTGCATAGGATTGCACCTTAAGTTCTGCATAGCCCACAACTCAAAGCCGTCAAGCATCCAACTAAACAGCCGTGCACTAGCTATAATTATGTATATGCTTAGTAAAGGCTGCAAGCAAAAACTATTACTTTTAAGAAAGATGTTATGGCATCATGGTATGGGAAGCCCTTCCAACATTTGATTCCAGGTGAAAATCATTGCCAATATTTGTTCAGTACATAGATAATGTACAGATATGATCTATGTGGTGCAACATACCTGTTCTTCTTTTATTAGACAGTGAGCTTCCACTCGGACTGCTCCAGTAGTCATGATAAAGAAAGAATTGTAATGGTTGAGCTCACAATCCTGTGCTAGCTAGAAGCTGATGACCCTCGGATAGGGTCAAGTCCCAGCTCCGCTAATGGAAATGCATGCCAAGGCTGGAGCTGGGATTCCAACCGGCAAGGTTCTTTCCATGTTGCCTGTGCTCTGCAGGGGCAAATTCCACTCCTAAGTTGGCACTGGGCCAGGGAGGGAGGAGGAGCTCTGCTGGATATCAGGAATCCCTGCAGTTTCTCTATCCTTCTTCCTTGTGAGTCTCTGCACTGCTCCCACATGTGGTTGGATGCTCATAATCCTCTGGGTTTCTATCCCCTGAGCATATTTTAAAAACATATTTCACTGGTTCAAAATACATTCAACACATTCAAAGATATATTGTGAGATTGCTAAAATATATGCAAGGATATATAAACATTTAACTTTAATACAAACATTAAAAGCGTTAAATACCAATATCAGACTGGACAGCACATTCACTCAGGGGATGCTTGAATAAAGAAATGAGACCTAAAACATGATATGGTTGGCAGCTCCTGAAAACCAGGGTCTATTTTGGAATTCCAGGAATCCCTATTCCATAAATTGGGAGCCACCACGGAGAAGGTCTGTGAAATGGCAACCTAAAGGTAGTATTGCAACCAGCAAGGACTCCTCCAGTGATCTTAATCCTTGCACAGGTTTGTACTGGGGAAAGTGATCTGCTTTGTAACCTGCTCCTGAACTGCTCTTGTCATATTATTATGTGTTTTATTTTTCTTCTTTATTTGTTTATTTTATTTTTTTGCCTGCCTTCTACGCTACCCATTCTTGGTAGCGTTGCCATGGTCAGACCTCCAGATGCAAGTCTGGAGCCCTGCAGCCTAGCTTATGGCCTGCAACCATGCAGCAGTCAACATCCAGGCTCATCAGTAGCAGATTTATTGCTTTCCTTCTTCCTCCAGAACACACACACGCGCGCGCTTTGTAGAGCAGAAGTGCTGTGGAGGGGAGCTAGCTTAGCTGGATGACCTCTGTGAAAAAGTGTTGGAAGAGGAAAGCAATTAGTGTCTCTAACACGAGCAATCAGTCCCCTGAAATGCTACAGCCCCATAGAGATCTGTGTGCATCCACAGTGCTGGGGGGCTTTTTTGCATCGTCCATCCGTCTTCCTTTATTGCCTGTGAAGTTCATTGACTGGGCTTTTTTAAATGTGCAGTGCAGAAGTCTCAGTCAATATCCCTCCTTCCTGCAGCATGTTCTTCATTTCCTAACACCTCTAGAGCTGGGAACAGCTTATACTAAATGTAAGACAATTTCTGCTTACTCTTGGGACAAATTAGGAAGTGTTTGCCCAAAATTTGTTTTCTTTCAGAAACTGTCCACAGATAAATGACAATTGTTTGAACTGGGGAAAAATCCGTCCGAGCCAAGAAGGCGGCTATTCTGGAGGAGG